TTTTGGATCAGCTGAAGGCTTTTAACTACAGTTTGTGGACTTCCTGATAGTAAAGAATTACAATAGTCCAGCCTTGAAGTAACAAATGCATGGACTTCTAGAAACCTCTTTGATATGGGATTTAAATGACAGGTCCTGATCAAAAATTAAAGATTCAACTGTAAAAAAAAAAAAAAAAGTGTTTTTTTTAAACATTTCTTTTAATTAAATTATTCTTCTTTCTCACTAAAAAAGCTGTTTTTAAATACACTTTATGACTTTAGAGTTTAGCTCCTGACGGTCGCTCATGGTGTTCTCCGGTCTAATAGCGTTTCTCTCTCATTTCCTGTTTCAGAACCATTTGATGGTTCTGATGTTGCTGGTCTTTGAGGCCACGGTGTATCGTCACCAGATCCACCACTACCGTCAGCTCCAACGGACCCCCCCAACCATACCGACTCTCTTCCCGTCTGCAAAGAGAGACACGCTGGACAAAGGCCTCGTCCCCTGCTTCAAGTACCTGCTCAACTACGCCTTTTACAAGTTCGGCTTGGAGGTGGGGTGGTTTAGACTCGTCACACTTTCCCTGCACCTTGGTCTGCTTTAATGGATTTTATTCTCCATAAATGTCTCCTTGTTTCCTTAAAGATTTGCTTCCTGATGACGGTGAATGTGATTGGTCAGCGGATGAACTTTTTGGTCATAATCCACGGCTGCTGGATGGTGGCCCTGTTGGTGAGGCGGCGGCGAGCAGCTATCGCCAAGATCTGGCCAAAATACTGCATCTTCCTGTCCATCTTCATGATCTACCAGTACCTGCTGTGTGTGGGCATCCCTCCTGCTCTCTGCCAAGGCCAGTTCAAAGGAACACATATAGTCTGACAAGATTGGGACCTTTTACTAATGAGCTTTTACAGAATTTTATCCCATACATTTATACATTTTAATTTTGTTTTTACTTTAAATGCACCAGCAAAAATTTTCACTAAAGATTAGCCTCAGGTATTCAGCTGGAAAAATTAATCTGCAGAAACTCCCTTGAAGTGTGGTATCATAGATGACATCACACTAACTGGCATAATAATATGACAGGAAGTGAATATGTAAGTGTGTGCTGTAAATCCTCTTCATGTCTAGGTTCTGTTTGATGGATCTGAACTTTTATTTCTCATTGTAAATTGGATAAACGTGTGATTTACAGACAACCAGCAGTGATTCTCACTGCAGTGATTTTCAGCTGAAGTCATTCTTTCAAACGGCCTCTCAGGTTTGGCATGTTAGATAATCTGTTTTTATCTGGAAATGAGACCCAAATGATTTGATTAACATGTCTGTTTGGAAACAACTGTTCGCAGACTGATGTGGTATGAAAACAATGGTTCAGCCTCCTAAAAACAGCGCGTTTGCATAATTAAAAAAATGGACCAGAGGAAGATGTCTGCTCATTAGACGATACCAGAAATCAGTGTAGTTTTCTTCTCGTCTGCAGATTACCCATGGAGGTGGAATAACCAGCTGTTGATGAGCTCAGCGCTTATTAAATGGATCTACCTGCCTGATTTCTACACTGTGCCCAACTCCAGGAACCTGATAGGTCAGCTGTGGTGCCGCTCTCTGTGCTTTACTTTCTAACCGTGCTATAAGCTGTGCACTATCACTGTTATTGGATGCTTTACTCTGCTGATGGCACAGTAAAGATCCATACTGTCTGAAGTTCTAGTTTCTCAGAACTGGCCTTTGTCTCAGAGCTTCACCTCTGGGACGAAGGCCAGTCCTCCAGGATGATGATGATGATGATGATGATGATGATGATGATGATGATGATGATGATGATGATGAAATAGAGGATCACTGTTGTTTCTGTCCTCAGCGGACTTCCTGCTGCTGATGTGTGCCTCCCAGCAGTGGAAGGTGTTTGAGTGTGAGAAGCAGGAGGAATGGATGGTCCAAGGAGGAGAGAACACCGATGAGCCTGACCCAATGGAGGGTCAGCTCTTTAACCCTGCTCCTAACTTCATCAACTGCAGGTAGGGTGTGGTCTGCT